TAGATTAGATATCCCTCACCTTGTGGGGTGGGGAGGCCCTGGCACAGGTTGCCCAGAGAAGCTGTGGCTGCCCCATCCCTGGAAGAGCTCAAGGCCAGGTTGAATAAGGCTTTGAGCAACCTGGGATAGTGACATCCCAGGCCATGGCAGGGGGGCTGGAACTAAGCAATCTCTGAGCTTTGTTCCAACCCAAACCAATCTATAATTTGTCAGGACTAGAGAGGCCCTTATGGCAATAGTCTCCAAATCACAGTTTATGAGCCAACTTTGCTCATAAAACTATGTTCAATTGCTTAATGCAATGGGAAATAAATCATAATTTTTTAAAGAGTTAGATTGAAGACAGAAGGAAAAAAAAATCTCAAAAACTGGAGTTGTCCAAGGTATGTAATTTTATTAGTGTTACTGCTAATGGAGGTTGTGGACCACTACATTTCAGGGTTTTTTCCTTTCTTCCCTAATTTTCAAAACCTTGTTAACCACATAAACTGTGCTTAATCCCTTTAGAAAAAAACCTGCCCTTCTAGCAGTTAAAGAAGCACAGGCTGAAAAAAAAAATAACTGTGTCCCCAAGGTCAGCAAATTGACTTTGGTTGGAATTTGGATAATAGTTCACATGCACTTCACTGGACTCATATTCACATCCTCTTGTGAAACACATGAAGTTGTGCTTTCCCATTTTTTGTACCAATTAAAAAAATGCCTGCTCTGCATTTTCAAGGTTATAGAGTGACAGTTTGTTGAGTAAAGATCTCCTTTCATTCCATAGTGCATGCTTCTCATAAATCAATCAGTCATTTTGAACCATAGCCCAAAGAACAGAGGAAGTATCAAATGTGTCCATTATTAAAGTAGAAATTTTAGACATCCCATCACTGAGAAGCTAAATTGGAACTCAATCAACAAAAGTTGATGCTATTGACCTCAAAGATATTAATGTTTTATGCTGCATTTTTGTAGCTCTAAGCACTAAATTTATTACCTGCTCAAAATGCAGGCGAAAAAAAATCTGACAGGCAAATAAAGAAAACACAGTTGTAAGAAAAACTATTGTATTCTCATGCTTCAGGAAGGTAGCACAAATAATTTGGAAGAAAATTAAAAAACAAAATCACATATTATGTTACCAAGAAATGGATAACACTGTTGTGCCTGACTTATCTTTGCAGCTAAATGATTTGCATACAAATGCCACACACAGAACTACTATGTTGTATCTTTACTTCCTTGAGTAGCTGCCTCTAGAGGTTACCAAAACTGCTGAAAGCTTACAAAAATTATGTTATAAATCTACTATAAATAAAAACTTGGGAGGTGAAGGTTAAAGTTCTGTAAGTTCCAAAAGAATACCTCCTGATTTTTCCTCCTACTTCTCCCCAGCCTGTAAGTTTAAAATCTCTGAGGTTTACTCAATATTACCCAAATCCCAAGTATTATTATTTCAATTGCTCTTTAATTTAATGGAAACATTCTTGGTGACTGAGTATGGCAGCAAATTAAAGACTTTTGTTAGTGTCAAAATCTCAAGAAAATCTTTCATCCCATCCTCCTAACTCAAAAATATTCATCAGAGCCGTAACTGTATGTTAAGGACATTTTTCTTACCCACATAAACACTACACATGCACTTACAAAAACCCCAAGCTTGATTAAAGTAATAAGTTTTGTATAGTATCTGAACAAAAATCTCCATCAAAACCACAAACCATTCAAAATCTGTCACTCTCCTCCAGGAAACAAGAAAATGCTGATGTGCCCATCGTGGAACAAAACAGGTTCTTATTTCTGCAGTGCTAATTTCAATCACACCAATAGTTCTACCATAATCTGAGTTATATTAGGGCAGATTAGTAGCTCAGACTAGAAAGCACTGTGGCCATAAAACAGCATCTCTGGTGGTTGTGCAAGATTTAGAAAGGTAAGAGTTTTACTGTTTATTACTAAATCAGTAAGTCTAGCAGGAGTTATTAACCTACCCCAAAAGCACTGTTTTACCTTCCATTTTAAAAAGAATCAATTAACATGAACACTAGTCTTTTGTTCAGAGAGTACATTTAAGAAACATGAAGAAGCACACAAATGTCATATTCTGTTCATTACATGAGCACTTGTAAACTCAATTTTCTTCTTACTTTTGTGGAATGTACAGGATCCTAAAATAAATACAAACAGTTTAGAAATACATTACAATGTAATTTTTAACTTTAGTATCTTTAATATTTTATTAGATAAAGTAATTAATGTAAAGTTTTGTGTTTTAATAGCTTTGTGCATTTCAATATGTTCAAATATCTACACCAAAATGTACCTTTGGTATATTTTAATGAAGTTTGTCAGAATTATGCTAAATCTGAAAAATCAGCAAACACAGATTTTAACCAGCAGTTCTACATAATTCTCAGTGAGCAAAAGAAATAACTAATTTCATAATTGACTCCACTATTTATTTTGGGGTTTTTTTAGCTTTTTCACTCTTTTAGGCACCATTTCCACCAGGTCCTGTGGCTCACAGCAGCCTGTCCTGGAATGCTGACTTTCATTCCACTGTAAGAAATCAAGGACCTTGTTTGTCTGCATATCCAGTCACCTTCTGCTGCTTGTGACAATGTCTTACAGCTTCTTAAGTGAATTGTTCTTCTCCAAGTCATGTATTCTCATCTCTACAACTTCCCAAAAAGTTTGTTCAAAAACTTCACTGTTGAGGTGCACATGAATCTTTATCCCATTTATGGACTAGAATAATTTATCAACAGCTTGGACATATTTTTTGCCCGAGTTAACAGTTCACACACGCTTTTCTTAACTCTCTCTCCAAACTTAATTAATCCATTTTCTCTCATAGTTTTCATTTTTACCTCTTCTGCCTGTTTTATATCCCAGGAAGCCTTTTTCAGTATGTTTTCCTCATGTTGGAAAGCCCAGGTAGTGGTGGTGAATGGAGTTACATCCAGTTGGTGGGCCCTGGGGATCATCCCCCTTGGCACTGATGAGACCACACCTCAAATCCTGTGTTAATTTTTGGCTCCTCACTCCAAGAAAGACATTGAGGTGTTGGAGTGTGCTCATAGAAGGACAATGAAGCTGGGGAAGGGACTGGAGCCCAGGTCTGATGAGGAGCAGCTGAGGGAGCTGGAGATGTTTATCCTGGAGAAGAGGAGGCTCAGGGGAGACCTCCTCACTCTCTACAACTCCCTGGTAGGAGGGGGGAGCCAGATGGGGGTCAGGCTCTTCTCCCAGGGAACAAGTGACAGGATGAGAGGAAATGGCCTCCAGCTGTTCCAGGGGAGGTTTAGGTTGGATATTAGACAAAATTTCTCTACCAAAAGGATAGTCAGGAATTGGAACAGGCTGCCCAGGGAGGTGGTGGAGTCACCACCCCTGGAGGTGTTTAAAACGTGTAAATGTGGCACTTAGGGACATGGTTTAGTGGTGGGTTTATGGTTGGACTTGATGATCTTAGAGGTCTTTTCCAACCTAAATGATTCTATGACTCTATGCTACAAACCACTCTTCTCCCCCATATTTACCTGCTTGTTTTTTTAAAAACCACTTCGTGAATATTTGGGAAATTCTCTAATAATTGAATCCCAACTTCTGATTCCAGTGTAAACTCCTTGTATTCTAGTAAGTGCTGCCAATTCTCAAAACACAGCAAAGGTCCTAACACACCCAAAATCCTCAATATGCTACAAAAACTAATGTTTAGTGTATGTATGACCAACCAATATATGTTGTAATAGCTATCTTTTAAATCAACTTTTTTGTGCTTGTGTACTACGGTTATTGCTACTGAAGTACCTAAAGCTTTTAAAAATTTACAGAATAACTGAAATTATATCTTGTATGCTTTCTAAATGCCAGCCTTTCTAAACCCCCAAAAATTCCTCATTGTGGTATGTGACAGTATTTGATTTTTGAAAGCAAAAATTCCTCCCTGCATTTTGTCGTTGTAGTGTATGAAAATATTTGCTTTTCCTGGGATTTTTGAAGGAAATAAAACTTCAGAATTATAACTCAGACTGTGTGAGTCTGCATACAAAATGTAAAACACAGAAGTATCTGTAAGAGACAGAAAGAATGTCCAAGAAGGCAAAGAACTGGAGAACCCTGAAAAAGGGTAATCCATAAAGTTGGAAACAGGCTGAGTTTAAGAAATGTCACATTGCTTGAAATCCCTGAGGGGACAGACACAGAAGGCATTTTATAAAAATGGATTATTAAGGTGCTGAAGACAGACAATTTCTACTTCCTTCTGGAACAAATCACAGAAAATAAAATGACTGAAAATGAAACAAGATGTTTCACTCAGAGAAAACAGTATTTTCTGAGCTCATGTCAGAGAAGCAAATAATTATATGCCTCATATACAAAAATCAAGAGATAATGTAAACTAATATAAAAATAAGCTATATACAGTATGTGCAGTGCAAACTCTACTGCAGTAAAGTGAAATGTAAGCCATTAAACTGGAATTGCAAACTTTAAACCAGAATGGTCAGTGCAGCAAAAAAAACCAAAAACAACCAATTAAAATATTTTCTCTTGATGTTTAAACTGGCTTCATGACATTAACATACTTCTAATTTTTTCTGATTTAGCTAATGTGATACCATTTTAGCAGATGCCGAAGTTCATATTAATTATCACCTAAATCATTAAAGTTTTGCTCCAATTTAATATAAAACTGAAAATTCTTTTTCCTTTTAGTTTTCAGAAAATGTAGTCATAACACGTTCCTCCAGCGCAGGAATTTTTGATGCGAAGCTTCAAGATATGTAAGAGTCAGAATTGGATTTAAAGTAAGATAAATTCTTAGGAAAGTAAGAGAAGGGCATAATAATGTGTACTCATGTCATTTTTGCATATTCACACTCACAACCCTGAGAACAACTTAAATCTTTCTGACAAACCTGTGTTGCAAGAATATCCACACAGATATCGAAACCACTCACTTCCAGAGTGTCAGAATGCCTCCAAAAAACCAAAATGGTGAGACTTACCCCATTCAAAGGGAACGTTTTCCACCCCAGTTCTCCAAGAGCAGCTGTGGTATCAAGTAACACAACTGAAAATGGAAAAAGAAATGGTGTGTTTGTGGTATTGCTTGGATTAGACAAACACAATTATTAGACATAGTAAATTATTAAACCCCCATAGACTGAACTTGCCATATTAGCCAGGTACATTTCAGCTTTCACAGATTACATTTCATTACCTACTAAATTTCTTAACACATATACCTGGAAAAAAACCCCATACCCTAAATCTTTAGCAGAAATCATTGTCAAATCACAACACACTACTGATATTTAACCATTAAAAGGTGTCTGAATAAACATGCTCATTTCTGCAAACCCCCGCCTGGGAATCTAGAAGTTCTGCACATGGACTTAAGCATTAAAGCTAATAAAATAAAGATACACAGAGTTTCAAAATTAAGAGTTCTTTTTTTTAAAAGCCATAAACTTCACAGAAGTAAAGTTATACAATATACAAATTGTATAACTTGGAATACAGAGAGACAAGCAACTTCAGTTTCTATTTTAGCTGGAATATCAGAGTCTTGAAAGCTGCTACAATATTTTGCATCAGTTCTGTAATATTTATTATTTGACATAAAACAATGTACATTATTGTATTTATATACCAAAAATGTTTCTGAATTATTTTAATACGTTAAATTACATTAGTGAATGGAAGAGAAAAATGAAGCTAATGATAAACAAAATATGCAGCACATGAGACATTCTACCCACATGTACTACTGCCCTCTAATGGAATTGTTTCATCCAACCCTCTAATTTCATAAAGCTAAATTACAATTTAAACATAAAATTAAGTATTGCATAGGGGAATTTACTTTAATTATCACATTGGTGTGTTTTGAACACTCACTTCCTTCTCACAGCCCACAAACTCCAGTTCTACTGGTTAAATGATGGAGAAAAAAATGAAGCTGTATGTTTGGAACATGGCTACTCTGTGCATACATTTGTTGGTTTTATATTGTTGTGCACTATCTTCCACCTCTTATCTGTCCAAATAATCAATGTACAGCTGCCTGTAATGTGTTTCTATAACATGGGTCAGCACCAGCAGCAGCCAGGTCATGCTTTCTTGCCCTATGGAAAAGGCACCCTGGCAAGGACATAGAATTTTACAGCTCATTAGAGGAATCTCAACCCAGCATCTTCCTTTGTCTTTTGTATCAGTGACAATTAAAGTTCCTCTTCATTTCAATGTATGTTGACTTTTAACCTGAAGCAGAAGTTTGCTGTCTCATCAGCAGACTTATAAGCAAGTAAGAAGCTCAGCATTAACCAAATAAAAGTTTAATGATTTATTTGAAGAAATTAATGACATTTTAAAATGATATTCAACAAAGGGGGAGTATTCTGCCCTCCACCACGTCATCACTTTATGAAGCTTTGGGAATAATTTGAGGATAAATTAACCATTTTTTTTGCAATCCCCGTTCTACTTCCAAAAAAATGGGATCGCCATTACCACTGAGACTCTTGCTGGCTTCTGCTGATTTACAGCACTCACAGTATTTTATATTTGTGTCAGGAGACTCTTGTTGAAGAATCAAGAAAAGCATCTTCCCATTTGACACGTGATGCAGCAGTTTCCTGTGTAAACTGTGTAACGTACTGGGAATCTGTTGGCTCCAAAAAAATTAAGTTACTGGGTTTAGATATTTCCTTTCCATAGAGAAGACCAAATGCCCAGCTGATTTCTGGGAATATTTAAGTTCATTTTATGTGTTTGTTTATTTCTCTCCATCTCTCCTCCACTTCTCTCTCCATCCAAAAAACATAGACTATTTGTTATGTGCTTTGTTTTCAGCTGAGTTTCAAGTTATATCTTCCTCTTTATCAAGTGCTATTCTGATGATAATTCTTTAATACTGGATTAAATAAATAATCAAATTAAATACACTATATGTTACAACCAAACCTGTGGATCTGAAGGAAGAAACAAATTCTTTCTACAAATAGCATCAGAGTTTAAAGTATCATTTCAGTTTTACAGTTTTTGTGGTAGCAGGATCAAAGTTTAATAAATATCACCCAGGTATTCAAAAGTAATACTTCCATGGAACAAGCCCTAAAATACAGGAAGGAAAACTAATTCATTTCTTCAATGGAGCCTGAATTAATTCCTTGCCTGAATTAATCAAGTACTACTTGAAAGCCCAGAGCTATACATTAAAAAAATTAAGAACTAGAGTAAATTCATCACTGAAAGTATATTAAATTTAGATTTCGTTGAACTATGATCTAATATTTCTTATACACATTTATAAATGATCCCCAACAAATAATTGAATTTTGTTAAAATGCAGGTTTTTATGCATTTTACATACCAAGCCTCCTGAATGCTCATATAAGTTCACTTATAACTCTGAAAAACCTCAAACTGGAGAATTCAAATAACCAAACAACTCTCAACCAGGATTAAACTGGTATCACCTTCAGAGTTCAAAATGAATATTGTAAAATTTAAGAGACTGTCTTCGCAACAGTACTTGTATTACAAGGCAGTAAATAGTTCTCAATCAAAACCATGTAAATACTGGCACATCAAGTAAATATTATGTTTATGCCAGAGAAATCCAAACTCCAGTAAAGCTGTGAAATCAACAGAGCCTGACATAGAAATGAGGACATGGATAGAGTAATAAAACCCTCACACACTTGAGTGATTTGGAGATGTCTGAATGATAGACTTCGGTGTGGGGCAGAGGTACCCAAGCTCTCTCGAAATGAGGTAATTAAGAAGCACTCTATCCCCAGCAGCACAGACCTGATGGCAGACAGAGCTGGCCTGCCAAAAAGCTTCCAACTCACAGGAAATTCCGGCTGCCAAAGAGATCCAGACTAAGAGGAATGTATACATCTGAACTGCAGGCAGGGATGAGCTTCCCCTCTGACTGCGGGAGAGCGGAAGTTTCAGAAGAACTGGAAATCTGCATGCAAAGAGACTAAAAGGAAATAGTGAATGATACTCAAAACAAGGAAATTCCTAAAAAGTTAATGGAACCAGGAAGGCACATTTACTGACCCTTGTCCCTCTGTTTCCTTCTTTATACTCCTTTATTTTATTTAATGGATTCTAATGGATTCAACCCTTGCTGAGTTGTAAGGAAGCCACAAAGATCATCCAGTCCAACTCTTCAGTGAATGGCCCATATGGGGAATGGCCCCACAACCTTGGCATTATTAGCACCATTCTCTAACCAACTGAGCTAATTGTATTTATAGACCATAAAAAGTCTCATTCCTCTTAAATGAGGCTCTATGAAAAGTGGCCATTCTGGACAAGCCAGCATAAACAAAAGTGTCTGGAACTACTGCAGTTAATATTGATGATGACTTCTAAGTTGCAACTAAGCAATGGCACTGACATTTCTGCACCCACTCCACGTGGGGCAGCCACTTTTCTGAGGTGACATGGAGTGTAAAACCTGCAGAGCTGAACAGGAGTGAAAGAGTGCAGGTCTGCCATTACAAAGTCATGTGTCATAGTTTGGAATTGGCCCCCCTGAGAGGCTGGGGGGGGCTCAGAGGTGATTGGGTGCTAGGGCAGTGTTCCCTGGAGAGCCAGTCACCACTCATGTTGTTCACTTCTGCTCAAAATCTTATATCACAGCACTGGAAGCTGTTGGCAGTTCTGTCTTGGTTGTTTTGCTGTTGGTGTCTGCTGCGTGTAGGTGTTGAAGGCCAGGGGATGGCTGGGCTCTCTCTCTTCCCCTCCGGGGGGAGAAGGGGAGCCCTGCGACCCCCCAACTCAGCCTTTGGCTAGAGTTAGAGTTAGCATTTGGAGTGTGTGCTGTGAAAGAAGAATTTCACAGCCCCTGAGGTAAGAGGAGAGAGGCAGGCTCTGCAGCCAAGCCCTCTCTCCCCCCTCCTTTTCCACAGTGAAGCTGTAGAGGGGGGCTTTTCCTTTCCCTGCACGGTAAGTGGAGGAGAGGCTCACCATTGAAGCTGAGCCAAGAGACTGGGCCGTGGAAGTCGGCCCGGCGCTCAGGGAAGAGTCCCAGGGGAAATGGGAGACGAGCCCAGAGCTCGGGAGCTGCTGCCAAAGCTGAGCGGGGGCAGCCGAGAACTGCTGTGGGGGAAGGAAGATTCCAGGCCGTGGACCCTTGATAAGCTGCACTGCAGCAGCCTACGGAGCCAGGGGAGAGCCCGAGAGGGAGAGATCACCAGCAGCAGGAGAGCAAGGACTCCCAGCTGTCTTCTTGGAGTTGGTGAGGAGAGAAACAACTGGAACTTGGTGAGGTGGGAGCGTTCAGGAGCCCAGAACACTCCCACAGTAAAAGACTGTGATACGTATCAGCCTTGAAAAGCTGCTCCTGGACTAAAATTAAAGGAGGGGCTTGAAATGACTGAGTGATAGAAATGTAATATATATATATAGTTGCCTTTAGTTTGTATAGTATTTATTTGTGTAAATAAATGTATATACTTCCCCCTTCCCCTACAGAAGCCTCTGGTCTGAAGGTTTCTCTACGATGTTAGGATAAATTGTTAGGAAGGGGTGGGGGGAGCCTGAACATTGGATTTTTGGATTTCTAATGTGGCTCAAACTGCCCCACATGTAAAGAGTCAAAATGAACTCAAAAGATCCCTCAAAAAATCTCTTTGGACAAAAAGATTTAGCACTTGAATATCCTTCCTTCAATAACTGAGCCAGGGACACTGCCACTTGCCCAACAATAATATACAGATTCAAACATACACCTGTAAACCTGTTGTTTTAGTTAAGTGCCCCATTCATTTAGAAGTGTTTAGCTTTGTTTTCCAGTACATACTTTAATAGAAATTACACTATTATAACTCATTATGCCATATTGAGCTTCAGTTTCTTTTTTTTTTTTTTTTTTGGAACATATCTTACACTGCTATTATTAGACTTTACAACTGAAATTAATCTTTTCAGAGGTTTTGCCTGGTCCCCAGGGAACTGTTTGATTTAAAATTATGACGAACAGAGCTCCCAAGGACTGACAGTGTGGAATTTTAATTCTGATTCCAAAATACTCTTCTGAAGA